ATTGTATAGATACAGTTTATATATATACACAATAATATTATCAAATAAATTTTTTTTTCAAAAATGAATTTAACCTATCGTAGTCCTAAACACAAATGCCAAATAGTAAAATAAATATAACTATAATCGCAGTTGTAATATCATATAATTTACTTAATAATATTATAGACTGACATACTGTTTTCACTCAGAATCGTTTATTGTAAATAAATGTAAATGTATCTATTATATAAGATTAATCTTGTATAGTTTAAATTAAAAACAATAAGTTCGTAAGGTGGATGGAGTGACCGAACTGACTAAGGCGACGGTTGCAACGCATACCGTGGCCGGTTTGAACCTCAGTCACTGGCCGCACTTCTCTCCGGGCAGACATCTGTCTGGAGAGAGAGGCCGTCATCCCCTGACCGTACATGGCAGAAACCTACGAGTGCCCGATCAAAATTCTTCCAAACACAAACAACAACGTGTACAAACCTACTGATCCAAGTCCTACCACAATAAATCTATAAAACAGCTAACGGACATAGTAGCCGGGCTTATGGAATAATATAAATCTATAAAACAGCTAACGGACATAGTAGCCGGGCTTATGGAATAATAAAAAAATAAATAAATAAATAAGTTCGTAAATTTTAAAAATAATCTCCAACTGTATATTATTAAAATATTAAATATAATTACATATTGATAAATCATAATACACTATAGGTTATCATATTGTATAACTGAAATCAGTAACAATAACTGTTGGAATTATAAACAAAACACCCTATATAATGTAGTGTATAAGTAACATATTCATACTGTAGTTCAGCAGACGCTGACTAAACATTTTTATAATACTACAGCATAAATGTCTTGTGTAGTGTAGCCGGGTATACATATTACATAGTTAGTCGTTGATTTATATTAAGCCTCGTAACACTATTGTACATCGTATCATTATACTTATTATTATATTATATATATATCCGATTTTATTATTATTTACCTTTAACTTCTGTATATCTGTGTACTTCAACAATAACATTAAACTATTTTTTTTCTAGTGGTTGTAGGTACGTAATTCTTATGTAGTTTAAACTGGAATTAGTAATTTCAATATTTTATTTCTGTGAAATTTCAAATTGTATTGAAAAACCCATGTGATTGAAACCAAAATTTGCTAATATTTTTTTTTATAAAGTCCACTTTTATAAAATATTATATTGTTACGGTAAACGGACATACTAAAAGGTAGTCTTTTCACAAGCTATCAAGTACTCAGACAGAACAACTCAATAACATAAACACGGAGACTAGTGATTGCGACACATAACATTAAGACCTAACAAAGTCTCGATTGTTCAGTATATTCATTAGCTTCAACGAGAATGACATAACCAACCAACGATAATAACGTTTAAACTTTAAACACAGCTGCATTTCACAGAGAGATCTGAACAACACCGTTAATATTAGAAGTCACACCATTGTCACCTAGTACCTAAAGTAAAAAAAGGTGGTTCAAGTCTTACCAGTTCAATACTTGTTTAATTTTAATTATATATCAATCTATTCTATAATTAGCTACCAAATTGTGTTTAGTGAATACAGTTTCCAAGCTTGTTGTTTATTAGCATAGATTAATAATACACTATGGTTAAGCAATGCCAATGCAATCATATATCGCTCATTTTTGATTGCGTAGCGATGAACGTATTGGTTTTAGAATGATGTGTGTTGTTGTTTTTTGCAGTGATAACTTCATATGTTTCAGCGGACCTTCTCACCCTGCAGCTGTGTCAAATCCTCGTGTTATTTATTAAAGCGCTTTATCAACCGTAGCCGATGTAAAGGATTAGACATGTTTTTTTTATAATATATTTTATAGACTTCCATGGTCATAGTCATAGATAATAATATATAAATTTATGGAACATATCATGCATTTCAGTGTGGTTGAAGATGACATGAAACTAATGATGTGCTTGTTGTTTTTTTTAAGTGAATACTTTATAGTCCGCGATCTCGGACTTTCTTAAGCGGGGTCCACAACTGCACGTGTCGTGTTTTGATCTTATACCAAAATGCAATACCAATAATAAGAATATTGTATCTTTAGCAAGTGTTGAAGTTCCAATGCGTACACCTGAGTAAATATTGTTTGCTCTGACTCCAGAGCCAGAAGGTTATTAACTCGCACGATGATGGAAATAAGTTTAACACCTGATTCTTGTAATGACGCGGTTGCGCCGGAGATCGTTTATTGCAAAATATGTAATTAACGTATCCGTGCACGTATTGCGCTACAATTTAGCATGCATATTATAGCGGTCATTCGTAGGTCGGCTCTATGGTATCGGAGTTGTTCTATGCCAACGTGGTCGACAAGAATAGCGGTCATGGTGAACCGTCATTCATGGGCGTCAGCACCGTCGGGTCAATGGAGTGATACGTCACCCATGCTAGGTTGCGAGATCGGAGAGGTATAGTGGAAACGGTCGGACGAGGTCTAAACATTAACGAACAGTTGGAGTCGGTCGAATGGGTTTTGCCGACGGAAATCGCAAGTCGAACAGAACGTGTGGCTCGGTCGAGGGTGGTGAGCAAAGAGAACGATGACCAGTTGGTCGGCCGTGTTGTACCCATCACGGGACGATTCGCTGGGGGGGGGCACTAATTAAAGTTACAAAGAACATAAATATATAAAAAAATACAGGAGTCGTATGCATTGTACAATAATTAAAACGAATACAATATAATCCAGTTAATAACGAATATAATACAAAATAGTCCACGATGCAGAACGGTACCGAAAAGGCGGAAACAAGTTTTGATAAGCCGCGGTATAACCACATACCTGATGTTAACATTTTATCATTTATTTACCTATCATCACGGCTATAGATAGTATAGTTGCCCTTCAAACCATGATTCCCATATTTGAAAAATGTCTAAAAAAATTTAAATTAAACAGATGGAGATTTAAGCACTATCGCTTGTGTGCCATAGTTGCTATCACGCCACTACAATTTACATTTGAAAGGTAACTGCATTTATAGCCAATACAACAAATAAGCGTTAGTGTGGAAATCTCCAGCTGTTTAATACTGATTATGGAGATTCATTTCAGTAGAAATTCTTTTGGATTCGTTGGGCATCCATACTATCTTTAATCATAGTTATTATTTGTCTGCAAATATCTGTAACGAAATGACCAAAAGTTGATCAACTATATTTGCGGTACCATTTAGTTAATGTGGTATCGTATGATGAAATAATTATTTTGATGAAGAAGAACTTGAATGATCTTGATTTTACACGACACGGGCAGTTGTGAACCTCCCTTTATACTGTTTCAAATCCTCGTGTAATATCCATTTTCTTTTACCTAGTCTATACCAAACGCGTTGTAGTTAAAGCCGGTGTAGTTACGTAGGTCACCGTGCAGACTCGGCTGTGTTTCCAATGGTACTGTCATCAATTTTTTACTTAAATTCTGCAAATCTATTTGGTAGGACCACGGATTATATTCAATGCTTATATTTATATACAAATATACATATTATGTGTCATAGTATATCCAAGTCCTTGAGTAAGACGTATATTTTAATATTTATATAATATAGAGGAAATTCTATAGCGGAAAACGTTTTGCATTATGCTAGCCAAAATTTAAAACGTTAACATTTTTGAAATTCGTAAGCTTATAGTGCTTGGTGTGGCATGTAAATTAACCGTGGTATATATTTAGATTTCCTAGACATAATATAGATAATAGCTCTAATTTTAAATAAAATTAAAATAGAGATTTTTGATTAATAAACTTATGTCAAAATCATAGAAAAGTAAATAAATTTAAGTAATAAGTGTTAATATAATTAATAACTAGAGAGCCCATGAGAATTGCGTTAAAAAGTGGAAAGCCGAAAAAGTATAAAAAAACTCAACCTATAATTCTAGATAGCATATATTTTGGTTCCAATCCCACGAAATTTTTAATACTTGAATGACTTAAAAGCCCATATCAACATAATTTTATAAAATATTTTAGAATATACGCAGATATTATTGTTGCTTTATTAGTTAATTATTATGTCATGATGATTAATTATTATAATTTATTGATAATTAATTTTATATTAAGTATATTACAACAATAATATTTATTGTGTTAATATTTGACACTACTTCTTTTTTCTTGGGCCTTTGATTTAAAAATTGTAAACAAATAATATGAAATGATATTAATATGATTATTATCAATATTTTTTTCTCATTATACAGCTAAAGGTATGAAGAATTTAATATGTTTTTTATATTATTGATCTTTATAGTAAGGTTTAGATTGAAATATTCTTGGTATATTTTTTACATAAATAATAGTTTTTTTTCTATATATTAATTAATTTTTTAATCAATTAGTTATCATATAAATAATCTTTAAAATCTGGAACACTCGTTTGATGTTATAAAAGCTATAAATCATGGGTGAGTGTGAGTCTGGGAAGTTTCCCGAATGTATAGTTACTTACTTGTCAGTTGTCAGCTACATTGCGTGTAGCTTTATGATTATATTTCCCCGACTTATTTTTTCATTACAATTACGGTAACGCATTCAGTACATTTGATAAGTTCAAAGATTTTGAGTATGTATACTATTACCTGTTACAACATGCTTTTTTTTTTTATTCCATATTCCTTAAATATGTTAGAAAATTACAATACAAATTAAGATCAAATTTGCATTTGTTTTTTCCAACCAAAAATTGTTACATTTCAAAGTTGGTCTCCTAGATACTAAAATATTTCCATTAAATTTATTGAGATCTTTTAAAATAAATCACTGGATTTTCATCTTTAATATTAAAATTTTACGAGTACAGTATAATTATATAATGATGGTCTCCAATATAGTTCCTTTGCTGAACTTATAGTATCAGGCTTCCTGTAGTATAATAATGTCTTTAATTGTCGTAATTATGTTTTAAATTTGGTGTTCTATAGTTTTAGTAATGCGAGTGTTGAGCAAGCAATTGAACCTTAGTCCTCTGGATCCCTACCACCGTACTCTAAGTATCAAATATATTATTTCAACGCCAGTAAAGCAGTTTGATTCAAATCATGAATTCCGTAAATCTTACAAATTCCGCTATGGTGAAATCAATAGGTACATTTCTTCCTTTAACTGGAAACTAACCTTCTCTGAACTCTATTTAAACTTCTCTGTTTACGCATTATACGATGCTCCTCACTTTACTGTGCTTAAATACATTCCTAAGTCCACATTTAATGAATCCAGTTTTCCACCATGGGTTTCTAAGCACATGAAAGATCTTATTTTAAAAAATAAAAGGAAAGAGCACATTCACTCTTTAAATCAGGTTCCCTAGCCTACTATAGAGAGTTTTTCTTCCTCTGGGCACGATGTAAATTTGAGATTAAAAGGTGTTTCATAGTCTTTGTTTCTAATGTTGAAAAATCATTTTACAAAGAACCCAAGTGTTTCTGGGACTTTGTTAGGAAGCATCGATCAGCAATGGTTGAAATATACAGATTATTGAATATTGACTAGGTTGTTATCATCAGAAAAAAAAAATTCTGCCTAAAAGGATAACACAAATATCAATTTTTCTATCATCAAAAATACGCTAACAAAAGCTAAACAATTTAAAATTCCCGTGCATGTATACTTGATTATTATTGACTCTCTTTACGCTGCCAGTTTTCGTTTTTATCATTGAATATTTGATTAAGAAGGGGTATAAATGCAATAAGCTTGTATATTTCAAGCTTCCACTCATCTAACTAAATTCCCAAAACTGAATACAACAATAATATTGCAGGATTAGATGAACAAAAATCTGACAACTAATTTTCTTAATTTTTTAGTTCTAATGATTCATTATAATATATCTTATTTCTGTTTAATGTTAGACATTTAATCGCTTATCCGCTGTGGCTTATATAGTGTTCTGTTACTCCGGTACTGAAATCAGGTGATGCATCTCATAGTCACCAAATAAAGACTGATCTCAGTTCTTACCAATATTGCCAAATTATTCAAATTGCTTTTACTTAAAAACATTCAACCATGCGTCAATTTTATTGAGTGTTAATGGAGGAATAGCATGGTTTCCACCCAGAGCGTTCTACAACCTCTTATAATGCAGCATTTTGTAATTATTTGAAGCTTTTGAACACATTCGCAAGTTAAGGTTAACTTTACTGACTTCACTCAGTTTAAACCGTGTTGACCACCATATATTGCAAGCAAAAGGTTTCAACAAAACACTCTTATCGTATTTTCGTTCTTTTATTGATGGTAGGAAGTAATTTGTTGAAATTCATGGAGTCTCTTCTCATACTTCCAATGTCTTCTGGTGTCCCTCAAGGTGGCCGCCTCTCTCCTCTAACTTTTTCTGAATTTTTAAATAGTATAGGTACACCTTACAGAAGAGCATTTACGGCTTCTTAGCATTTGCGGAAGATGTAGAATATTTTTACATCTTCCGCATCTAACCATATTGATTATCAAAATGACTGTCTTGTCCTACAAGATGAACAAAATAAAATTGTTTCTTGGGCCACCAAGCTAAGGTTGGATTTCAATATTACTAATTTCCACTGTATGACTTTTACCCATCTTATATATCCAATTAATTTTCAATATGCAATCAGTGTTACAATCGCTCGAAAAATCTGTCACTGATTTTGGTTTTGTTCTCTGTCTTTCACTTATCCCAAATCATCATATTCATTGTGCCTGTTGTAAGTCACTTAAGTTATTATACTTTGATAACAATGGAGTTTAGGGTAGCATCCATGCTTAAGGCGCTGTACTGTTCTTTTATCGGACCTATTCTCGAGTAAGGCTCTGTCATTTGGGATGCTAATACTGCCCAAAACGCAATAATGCTCGAGCGTGTAAAAAAATAAATTTTTAAAATATGCGAGTTATGTACTTAGAATTGAATGTAACAATCATATAGCCATTTACCAATACTTGAGCATCTGAAACCAGATTCCCTTTCAGATCATAGGCGTGCTGCTAACCTTAAATTCATTTATAAATTATGAAATGTGGTAGATTGATTCACCTCACCCACTCCTTAACTCCTATAAATGTCCCTCCTCGCTTCATTCGTCAATATACCACTTATAATTTGACAACCTCCTTCACTTATTATTGTTTTAATGAACCACTTCAGTGCTGTATTTTTCTGGCCAATTCTGACAACTCCATTTCATTATCTTAAAACTACCTAGAACTATTAACGACAGTATTCATTGTTTATCACACTAGTAATCATAATTGTGTTACTTAAATATTTATGTTGTAAATTGGGCACATGCCCGTAATGTATGCTTCAAATAAAAAAGTAAATAATTATGCTTTTTAATTATTACCGTGTATTTTATTTCTAACAGACATATACAGTAAGTCATTTTTATTTTGAGTAATAATTTTACTTTATATGATATTATATTAGACACATCATACATGTGTATATAGTAAGAGACGAAAATGTTTATTGTATAGATTATATTAAATATAATTTAGATAGCTGATATGTTTTTTAAGGACTAATATTAAATTTTCAGGATTCTTAAAAAAAAAAAAAAAAATGTTAGCTAATTATAATTAAATTTCAATAGGTATTGGTCTTAAACGACTTGTTTAAAATTTTTAGTTCAACCTTTGACCTTATGGCAGAAAGTAATTAAGCATATTTTGTAATATTAATAACTAAAATTTTTATTTTATTCCAGATTCAGATGGTAAGTTATCAGTTGTGGAATAAATTATAAAATATATTACAGAAAATATTAGGTCATCCACCCTATAATATATTAATTCTTAGACTGCTAATCGTAACGTACAACATTACAAATTTATTAATAATATGTTAATTATTTTATTTATAGATCAACAAAGTACGTGTCTTTTAATTTTTTTTTTTTCATTAGATTTTTGTGCAGCTTAAATCTAAAAAATGTGAAATAAAAATGTTAAAATGTACAAAAAACAAAATTTTCATTATAGGTACTTCAAATTTTAATTTTCACTTTAATTCTTTTTTATAAAAAAGTTAAGCTCATGAAATTATCTAAAACTTTTATATTTTATGCTTTTTTTCAAATTCTCAACTGTTTTCGACCTACACCTTCGAATAAAGTAGAATCTAACAAGAAAAATCATTTTACCTCACTATATTCGTCAAAAAATCTATCATATTGCTTAAACCTATTTATAAACGAAAAATATGCATAGTAATGAAGTTGAAGATATTTAAATTCCCTTTCAGAATATATACATATATGTTAATTATTAATCTCCAAACTGACCATAGGCACAATTAGAATAAAAAATTCGGGGGGTGTCGGGGCTTCCACTCCCATATATTTTTCAATCACTGCCTCTCGGAAACTTTTTTTCCACACTTCACCATCTATAAAAAATGAGCTTTTTTAAAGTTATCATCCTTATCTAGTACGGGCACTGGCATAACGACCGAGGTCCGAGAATAGAAACTATAATATAAAATAAAATATAGTCGGGGCTCTGGGATAATATTTTATCACACACAACTGCGTCTCGCCCATAGAACATATACTAGGTGCGTGCTGTAATATTGTGTTACTAAAATAAAATAAAAAAATGTATTATATAATTTTTTTTTTCAGTACCTAGTTATCACATACATTTGCTTTTTATTTAGAAATATAAATAAAATAATTATAAAGTTCTTCTGGTTTTTGAGAGGTCTTTAAATGTTTTTGAGGCTCCTCCACTCCAGCCATCACCTAATTGCAACTATGAACCTAAATTTACAGCTATTTTAAAACTTCCATAACATTTTGCAACTTTCAGAAAATTTGTTTATATGTCATATTCTTGACACGCAACCTTTTTTCGTTCATCCAATAATATACGTGTCCACACTTTTAAGAAAGTTATTAAATAAAACAGTCAAAAATAATGATAGTGCACTTTGACAATACACCCTTTTTTTTACAGATAAGTAGTTTTGTTACATTAATACAATAATTGTAAATCCAATTGTTTTCAATTAATTTTTAATTTCATCCTCTAAACTTTATATGAAACCATATTTTCATCCTCTTTGAACTTGAGGGCCCAGGTTGTTCGTCTATGGCATCTTCGTCGGCCCTAGTGCTTGACTTTTGCTGAATGGGCTCTATGTCGTCTTCGTCGTCCTCAATGGCAACAGGCACGCTGTTCAGACATTTCCCTTGGCAGCGGAGGCACGCTACAGAACAGGTCATTATTGCTTTCCAGCAGCCACATTTGCCAATTATACAATCCTTAGTGCAACGGCAAAATATAGTTTTCAGAAGAACCTCAGGTGCTGGTAGATCTTCCTTTGTAATTGGCACTAGAGCGCCTCCAACATGTTCCCATTCCCATTCTCGGGGGTTGGGGATCACCTCATTCCCGAGCCACTGCTGCACTTGGTGTTAGGTGAGCCTAGAATGCTGTTTAGCTGCATTCTCTGTTGGAGGTGTGCTTCTTAAAATTGTACTTATAGTCAGAAATCATCAAACAAGCAGCAATGACCTTTTCTAACCCCTCCTCCACTTATGACTAGGTCAAAAAGGCTGGGAATATGTGCTTATTGAAATGGTATAAGGCTCCAAAAAGACAAACCTCTTTAACCAGTATCGCTTCCAGTCGTTGGAGGTCAGTGGCAAATATGAAGCCTGAAATCAGCTCCCTACCTCCAACAGAGATTGCAGCTAAACAGCATTCCCGGCAAACCTACTGCCAAGTGCAGCAGTGGCTCGAGAATGAGCTGCCCCCCTCCCCAAGAATGGTGGTGGAAAAGTGTAAGAGACATCCTAGTGCCAATTACAATGGAAGATCTACCTGAACCTGAGGTCCTTCTGAAAACTATATATTGCAAATGTAGCTGCCGGAGAGCAATGCCGCCCTGTTCTGCAGCGTGCTTAGACTGCCAAGGGAAATGCTTGAACAGGGTGCCTATTGCAGTTTAGGACGACGAAGACGAAATAGAGATCGTTCAGAAAGAGAAATACCCACCACTGCCGACGAAGATGCTATGGACGAACAACCTCGGCGTTGAATTTTTTTTGTAATATTCTACTTTATTCGAAGGTGTAGCTCAAAAACGGTTGCGAAATTGAAAAAAACATATAGCATAAAAGTTTTGGATAATTTCATGAGCTTTGTTTTGATATAAAAAAAGTTCATTCCGATGAAATGTTTTCGAGATATAAGTGAAAAACAAAATGCGTATCTCTACTCCCCTCCCCCCTTCGCGCCGGGGCAAAATATATAATCAATTTAATTAATATGTATGCGTAGTATGTAGTGAGTTACCTACCTATATACGAGTTATAGCGAAGTAGCGTAACCCGTCAAACTCTAAATATTTTAATAAATTACTTGCATTTTTATTTTCTATATACTACATAAACTCGTATATCATATATTTACTAATTATTATGAAACAATCGTTGGATAACAATTACCTATCAAATTTGGAAAAAGAAATCGATCATTACTAATCGTATTATTAAAATTTAAACTGTCAATATTATTTTACCGGAATATGTTTATCATTCCGTACTTAGTACTTTAGAGTAGGTTCATTTAAAATAATATAATAATTATAATTGTCTATACTTGTAAAGGTACAGTAATGTTTAGTACGTATATATTCAATTTAATTTAATGTAAACTATTTTTATAACCATTAATATTAATTTTTCACTATAATAATAATTAAAACATGATTTTTATAATCTTCAAATTTTACTAACTGATAAAAACTATAAAATTAAATTAAAATTAAAACTAATAAATTATTCAATATTTTATAAGTCTAAAAAATATATCATACAATATATTATCTGAGTTATCAAATATGGGTTAACATAAATAATGTATTATTTTTATGTATTTAATGATTTATCGGAAATTATTTCTAAAATATATGTCAGCATATCTGTATTATCACATTTGGGTTAACGTAAACCTTTTTTTTTTTATTTAAAATATCAAATTTACAATATGTAATAGTTGTACAATATAAGCTAAGCCAATTTGAAAATGTCACAATTTAGTTTTATTTTTACAGAACTATTACAAGGATACAGGATAGGTAAGTACCTATAATAACAATTTTTGTATATTAAAAATTAAAATTGATTTTAAATACCATGATAGCAAAACTATGTAGTATTTTATTAATCAATGTCAAACAGAGTCATTCACTGGTCATAACTGATCGTAAAAAAATAATAAGTTGTTTGAACTTTGAATGCTGTAACAACTGCTTTTTATATTGATTATATTACGATAGTTAAATAAAAAATAATAATTTAAGTAATTGAAGTTGGCTCGAGTTGTGATTGAATAAACCTGTGATCCAATAAATCAGCGGTTCTTAACAGGGATCCATGGAGCCATATAGGAATTAAACTCAAATAGGGAAATCGGCTCCTGCCACAACATGACACTATTTTGGTGAATCCAATACAAATTAAGACGATGAGTGATAAATGATTAGATATCTATAGTATTATTTTTTCCATGCAAAAAGTGATCTAATACAATTTTATTGGTTATTAACAATAATGTTATAATCCATAATACAGTATTATACTAGCTTTAAATCGTTCTCCTGAAGAATTTTCTATACTTATAATACATTTTTATTCAAAATATACAAATAGATTTTTTATTCAACTAGACTTTTTATACTCTTGGATTGTTTTCATTACTTTAAGATTGTTTTATTCAAATTAGATTTTTTAAATATTTATAAACTTTTTTATTCAACAAAGATCTTTTTATTCTATTTAATTCTTTTATTCATTATTTATATCGGTTGATTTTTATAATGGATTTAGATTTACACAATTCAACTTTGCCTTTTTTTTATAGAACTTGGATTTTAGATTCTGAGTGGAGCTATGGACATAGTAGTTTTACAATTTTGTTTATTTTTATTTATTTATTTTTTTATCCTATATACAAAATTTTTACCGAATAATTGCTTCGATTTCAACATAAAGTATTTTATCTTTAAGAAATTTGGATCAAGATGATATTTTAAATAGATCATTGTTCGATGTTCTCAATAGTTATATAATGACACTGGAAAAACCACCGTCAAATTACAAGAAAACAATAAAAATGGGATTTTAAATTTAACGCTTTGTTTATCACCATATAGGTACATTAATGAAAATAACGAATTTAGTTATTTTTTTGTAATTTAAAATATTAATTCAACATACAAGCTATAATTAAATATAATAACAATATTAAGTATCCAGACTGACAAACCGTGTCCGCTCAGAATCGTTTTTCGTATACAGTTACATGATATCATTAAATTCAAATTTAATACAATCCATTGTACAGTGATCATTTTGTAACCTACTGTACAGGTTTTTTTAATGTTAATTGTTTTAGTAGCAACTTTAGTGTTTTCAATTTAATATTAAATTATGGTTATAAATATGAAGTGTCTTAAAACCATCAACTATATTTAAAAAAAATGTTTTGTTTTTTTTTTTATACCACTTATAACACAAGGAAATTTTTAGTAGCCAGCTCAACCACACAATAATTATGTTTGGTGATGTAGCGAAGCCCTTTCCCCCTCGTTTGATTATAAAATTGTGTTTGAGTTTCCAAAATAAATAGAACGGATATCAATTACCACCTGTATCACAATCAAACATTTAGTGTTAAGTAGTAAGTCAAATTGTTGAGTCTTATATATTTTTTTATTTCCAAAAATGTTGCAAACAAAAAAATAAAGCTATTTTCTAATCCATGATACGACTATAGACCATAGATGTAAAAATTGTTATGTAAACAGTCATCATCAGATTTTATCCATAGTTATCCTATTTGTTACTTGTATATCATACAGCAATTATAAAGGTACAGGACTATTTAAAGTTTTAAAAAAATAAGTCATCTTCAAATCTATTAATCAGTGTTTGTCAATAACTCAAACAATTAAGTAAGTAGTAAATACCCCTAATAATAGTTGTATAATTTAGCAGTACATCACATTTAATAAGACAACTTTTTTTTGGGGGGGGGGAGGGCATGTGCTTTCAGTAGTTACTTAGATGAGATCACTTTAAATCCCAGTAATCCTACTACCAAGTGACCGAGTGCTGTCTATTAAAACAAACTACAAACAACAATATCCGCTCTTCAGGCTATAATACATATAACTTAACTATCTTAAGGTTGCTATGGATTTCATTGGCGTTGTCGCTCTTTCTTCTTCTTTGGTTTTAAAAACATGGAGAACGTCTCTGCATATTTCTTCTAATTTTTCTGCTTTCAAGCATTGTGTTGACCGCCAATTTGGGAGTGTCTTCCACGTTTGTTCTCATCTCCAGTTCTCTCCGTAATCTCCACCATCAGTCCCAAACGAACAATTCGTGTTCAGCGTTATTCACTGGTGCAAGCCTAACCATGATACACAGAAGTGTCAATTCTATTAAAATCCATAAGCTTTGCTCCAAAACGCCCATGTAATATGAGAAATTGAGTGTTATGATAGTTTATTGTTCCGTATGACCTCGAAACCCAGGGTCGCAGATCTGGTATTAACCTCTTCGTTCAATTGCCTGTAGCGGACACCTGCCACTCGCTTTGCCAACTATGTATTGACTCTTCTCTCAACTCTCGCTTTGTGGGAGGGGATAAGATCGTCTTTTTTGCCTAATATATTGCTCATCTCTAGGAGAACTAATAACCATCAGACGTTGCGAACACGGTATCCCAGAAATTTTTTTTTCAAAGACTAATGCCAAGGCCCACACCGTCGCAGCGTACAGCAGCTGACTTTGGGCTACGGGCATTAGGAGCTGTCTTTTGATTTTTTTCGGTCCTCCGATACTTGACATCATCATTGACTAGATTTAACTATCTTCTTAGACATTGTCACCACACACTATAAGTGGTTCCCAAATCCGAGTTTACTGCACAAATCCACGCCGAGATTACAAACGTATTCTTTTTGTAGAAACAGTGCAAACTCCAGGAAGAACCTCAAAATTGTATATCTACATTTAGTGGTCAGCATTGTTGCTTCCGTCTTGTCAACCGATAATGTAAGGTCCCTGCTCTCCATCCTTCTGACAACTAAGTCCAAAGACGGATTCATTGCTTCTTCAAACCTAACTGTCGTGTGTCTGGTAGCTAAAACCGGTGTCGTCGGCAAAGGCTATGATGGTCGAGCTTGACATGCTCCATAGTTTTGAACCGAGTATAGACCCTTGGGGAACACAGCTGGTACTTGCCAGCTTCCAGTTTTTAATTACAATACCGGGTTTCAATTTTTTTCGTTATAGGTTTTGATTTTTTTTTTGGTTTTTGTTTAATAACGGTTTATATCAGTTTCTGAAATCAGTTTTGCAACCGGCATCACAACCTGCTAAAATAAGTTCCGATTTGTTCTGAATTACATGCATCACATCCGGGTTTCCATCAGGCCCAGGTGCCTTATTCATTTTAAGGCTTCCGGCTATTGATTATAATTCTGCTCAAGTTATCGATGGTACTTCTTATTATACTTCTGTTTCAAGCCACATCGGTGGTTGGTGGATTGGGAACAGTTTGTCCATTATTAGTTCCAACCGTCCAGGAATTGTTAGCCCTGTTGTTTTTACGGCCTATCACTTTTGTTTATGAACAACTTATAGAGAATCCACCTGGTTGCAGAGGTCCAGTCATTTAAATGAAACATATCTAACCTTCTGAAGTATAAATATTGTATCAAGTTTCGACTTAGTAAGTTTTGAATTTGTCTTGTCAAATAAATAAAAATATTTAAGAAAATAATATGTTATTCTAAATTATATTTTTATTTTATCGCGGTTCTTGCGGTACAAACTGTCCATTGACAATAATCTTTATTAGTGGCCTCATTTAGTTGTGAGGCAATGTGGGATTTGGCAATGGCTGGTTTTAAAAGCGGCCCAAAGTCCGATTGGCTGGTTCCCAGTTCCTTAGTTTCATAATATATTAGATCAAAAATATGTTTAGACGAGCGGAGTGGAGTGGTTCGGGGTTACCCCGCGAAATGTTTGTCCACTTCACCGCTCGTCTAAACTTTAAATACTTATAACTCATAAACTACTCAACCCAAATTCGATTTTCATGTATCAAAATACTAAGAAAAATATTCTACTTTAGAATATAAAATTAAAACACTATGTTGTCATTCAAAAAAGTAAAAAACTTAAAAAATTATAAGGATAAAAAATATTTAAAAATATAATTTTTTAATAAAAACGTTGTTTTATAAGCGACTTGAAACTATGTAAAAAAATATTTTCAAAAAAATTTACACTTTTTGAAATAATGAGTGTTGTTTGATAGAAGAATCACCCAGTATATGTATATTTGAGTTTTCGTATGCAAATATGTATATATGTGTTCTATGAAGGAAAAAAAATTTAATACATTAATGTATACCTGAGAGCAGTTATTTTTTAAGTTATTCATTTGGAATAGTCAAAACTGTTGGCTGACTCTAATAAAAACCGAAATTATGAAACTAATTATAAAAATATAGGCTTACTAATCACGGATTCTAGAAATAACGATTATCAGTAGCATACCGATGGACGACGGTACAAAAAAGATATTATAGGCATTATAGATATTATAGTATTGGAAGTCAGCAGTATTATGATTATAAATCAATTTCAATATTGGTCTTAAATCATATGTTTATAATTTTTAATTCAACCTTTGACCTTATAGAAGAAAAACAAAAATTTTTAAATATTTTATAATTAATAACTACAGTTTTATTTTATTCCAGATTTAAAAGGTACGTCAATTACGTTTTGATAAAATTTATTTTAGAGACAAGAATGAGGATGTCAATTAATATACTATAATTTACTCCGTGGTGTTTAAAGATGTAACAATGTAGAACGCTAGTGAACTGTATTGTAACAATGTTTTCACAATCCTCTAAAAAAAAGTTGGCTACCCTCGAGGATAGACTATAGAATAAACTAAGGTAACAATACCGATATAACATAAAATATTTTATAGACGATTCCCCACAAGTTTTGTATCTTTTTACTAAGTATCCGTTGAGTATCGTTTTTGGTATACAATGATTTATCATTGAATTCAAATGTTACATCCATTTCAAGTTTCAACGTTTAATAAATAAATCGTTGCAAAGTTCTACGTAAAATAAAAAAAATTAAATATTTTGCAGAAGGAAAAAATTATTAAATATTAATTTAATAATATATTAATCATTTTATTTTTAGGATCTCAAAGTAAGTGTAATTTGTATTTTTTGATAAAAAACTTATTGATGTGAAAGTTCTTACCTGAGTTCAGAAACGTTAAACTTTCAATATTTAACTCCACCAAATTACATTCATGTAGTATACGCAATGGTAGGTATACTGAATTGTGAGAAGGTAGAGTGGCTTCATTACGAGCACTCAGCACAACACGGTGCCGACTAGGGTGTTATATTAGTTCATCGTTGACAACTAATGTGAACGGTGTGGAGTTAAAATGCATTGTATAATATTTGACCACATGCACCTGCAACTCATTGATCGTCGTATGTCACCGTGCCTTTGTAGTGTACGTGGACAGTGGTGGGGAACAATGTGAGGTACCTGACAGTATTTTAAATAATACCTTAGAAAAAAACCTTGGAATAGGATGTGCAGAGACTGTTACTGGAACCTAAAGAACTGGTTCCTGGATAAAATCTAAGAACCAGAATATTTTTTTCAAAACATATTTTACAGTGATTAGAATATGAACAAATTTTAATGAAAAAATACGTTTTCGGAACTTAAAAGTTTAAAGAAATAATTTAAAACTGTATTTAAATTGGGCTATGATGTAAACAAATACTTATTTTTCATAGAAATATTTTTAACACGAATTAAGAGTATTATAAAACCAACAATGATTAATTTACATCCATGCAGGTCATATTTTTCATTATATAACAAGAATTATTGGACAACAATGTTGATAAGATATAATAGACTGTAAACGAGTTGCTTATCAGGGGCCTCGAAAGTATATACAAGAGGCAAATAATATGATTATTGAGAGATAATAACGCTTTCTTGTTTATCACTATCGGTTAATCACGATGTTTATAAGTAAATTCTATGATAAATTCTAATCTTATTATAGTCAAATGTTTAGAATGATTTGATTTTTGGTTATGACTTATGAATAATAATAATATAATAAAAATTTGAGCTAATAGGTGATTGTTTCATTGTGATATGCCTCACTTGGAGGATTCTAGTGGATAACAAGACTAAATGCCTTTTTATGGCGATATCGAGAATGTCAGGACTATGGCTTAGTTTTGTTGGATTTGCTATGATGGAGCTAAAAATGTAGATTCAAGTATTCAGTCAATGAGTCTGAAAGAGCTTCTTCTTGACGTACTGGTGGACTTTATATTTCTCCCTTGGTTTTTAGCATAAAATTCACTTGCTGTTTTAATATTTTTGCTTGGTATTAGAACGGTATCTAAGTCTGTCGTTATGGGGTAAAACGTGCTTGGGATTTTGTACACAGGAACAAGAATGAATTCTTTTATTTTGACTTGGATTTAAATATAAGTGAGATGAATGTTGTATTGATCTTGATGTTAATGTGAATTAAAATTGTATTAACTACGACATCTGTGCCTCCCGATGTGCAACTGCCGTATACTGGTGGTTTATTGGTCCAGTAGGTGATCAAGTTTGAGAGTTTAATTACTGACGGTTAAAAGACAGTTGGGTCTCATTCAAAAGGATGATGTCGAACTTTTTCCTTTTCAATAGATCGAGGAGTTAGTAACGATTTGAGAGTTCTACAACATAATTCTGGTAAAAGATATTATGACATAGAAATGGGGGGACGAGAGTGGTAAGTGTAAAGATGAGATAGTCTCTGATGTTGGCAGTAATAGCCGAGCTGTCTGAGGGCAGGTTTGTCAGAACCAATGTCGACGGTATAAGAATTATTGTTTATTTGATCTATGTCCCTCATAGAAGTAGTGTTGGTTTTTAACAAGTTATCCCTGAAAAAATATTAATTCGTAAGTCCAAGTTGTCATGTGTCGGGCCTTTGGAGTTATATACATTTTTGTTTTTTTTAAAATTATTTTTATACAATTTATCAGTCTTGATAAAAAGTATAAGTATATAATCCTTATCAATATATCGAAATTCAAAAAAAAAAATTTATTTTATGATAAAAGAAAATTCCAATATTTTCGCGGAAAACAGAAATTTTACAATCGTTTGTTGTTGAATAATACGTTGCATGGCCTTCGGTGAAAATATCTATTCATATGATCGAAATCTATGAGTTTTACATAGGGGAATATTATGAACGTAATCAACAGTTTTAATACCAATTGATTTTGCAGGCAATTGGAGTGAAATTAAAATCTTCTGTGATGATAAAACCGATAATTATTTTCGTGATTTGTATTACGTTATATTGGAGTAACGTTTCAATATTTTGTCTATTTAATTTATCTAATATTAATCTATACATTTTAAACGTTATTCTAATTGTATTGTTAAGTTTTTGTTCTCCCAAAATGAGTGCATTAAAACAATTGAGCTAACAAGTAAATAACCAGTATTCACTATTTTACTGGCACAAAAATATTTTGAATCTTAACGATATAACGTACATATTATATGGATTTACTCTTACTAAATGCACTCATGAGGGGGGAAAACAAAAATTAATTTTTTTTGTTTCCCCTTTTTTAACCTACTATTTTTCATTTATGGTACTGTATTGACCTAAGTAATTTGTTATCATTATCCCTTACACATAACAATTAAATCTTAATTTCATTTATATTTTATTTGCACAATATCTACTATTGTAT